AACACTCCTGAAAGACAGGCTGTAAGGTTTCCGTCCAATGGAGCCGCGCCTTGCTCTGCAGAAATAGCTGCACCGTTGGACCCTGAAGTTCACCTGTTTCCATGCAGGTTTGGAGTCCGTGCTCTGCCCAAACGCCAGATGGTTCTGAAACTGAAGGAGATTTTCCAGTACACTCACCAGACGCTGGAGTCGGACTCGGAGCACGAGATCCAGTCCTCCCAGCTACCTTGCAGCCCAGAGGTACCTGGTAGCCAGGCGTCTACCGCTGAGACCTACAAACCTTCAAGGTCAGGAGGCTACACCCAGATCAAAGCCACTGCAGGTCTGGGGGCTCAAAGAGCCAAGGGTCCCACTAAAACCAAGAACCCTCAGCATCAAGAGAAACAGCGCAGTGAAAGTGTTTCCTACCCGAGCAGGTTGCCAGCCGGGGAACCGCCTGTAGGCCCTGTTGGAGACGCCCTGCTTCCAGCCTCCCAGGAGTCCGTGGCCACCTCTGTGGATGGCAGTGACAACTCCTTTAGCTCTCACAGGTAATGGTCATATCATGTGTCCTCTGAATGGTGGTGTGAGAGGCATTGGGGACTCTTAATGGCCAGTGTCCAAAATCCCATTGAATTCTGGGCCTCTGCAAGAAACCCACATGGTTTAAAGGTTCACTCCTTGAGTCCCTACAGGCCTTTGAACTCTGTAACTTCCTTTCATGCTGGAGCTTCCTGGCTAAGAGGGGATCCCACCTAGACTGGGCCAGCCAGGAATCCTGAAACCACAGACCTGTGGGACACCGTCAGGAGTCCTGTCACATGCGAGGCTCAGCAGAGCCCTGAAGCACTCGTTCCCTCAGAGGGGCTCCGGGTCATGAGGGCTGTAGAGAGAGGGCGCCCAGATCATCATCTCTTCTTTCCAGTTCCTCCTGTGGGTTTGCAGCTGCCTTGGAGTCTGCAGGTGACGACAAGGACGACGAGGAGGGGGTCAGTGCATCACAGGTTGCCCGCCGGGCCGCAGACACAGAGGAGGCAGTGAGACGCTACATCTGCTCCAAGCCTGCCCTGTACAGGAAGGTACTGACATACCAGCCCCTCGAGCTGGCTGAACTACAGGCTGAGCTGAAGCAGGAGGGCATTCCTGTGGCCATGGGCAAGCTGCTGGACATCCTCGATGCCCAGTGCATCACCTTCACAACTGCTGCAGCCCGAAAGGAGAAGCTGAAACAGAGGAGGCGGCAGCCCCTGGGCAGGAAGAAAAAGGACCAGAAATGACAGGCTTCCATCTCAGTCGCCGCCTGCCAGAGGGTCTCGCGGGTATGTCTCAGGACAGCTGTCCGTGTCTCTGAAAGTGACATCCCCAGCATACTCTCTGCTCTGTGTCACCCCTGGATTTAGAGCCAGGTCCTCCCTCCCCCCATCAGTCAGTATCAGTTTTTCCCCCTTTGACTCAAGCAGGATCCCCATCTTATGTGTTCCTGAGAGCAGTGGGCCATACCAGCCGACTAGGGCAAGACCCCGCCTTCTTCTCTTGCTGTTCTGTGTCTACTACACCCCAGCACAGCTGTCCTGGTAACATATTCTGGGATGAGCATCAAGCCCAGCCTGCCTTCTCAGCATTCAAACCAATTCAGGCACCCCAGGGCGGCCTGTACCACCACAGCACAGGTGCTCTTCTGACCTGATGCCTGCCCAGATACTAGTCAATGTCACCAGCATTCTCTAACAGGACTACGAATAGGGCCCAGCACAACTGTGAAGACCCCCAAAGTAAGCATGTTGTTTGTGGGTTCCTCCCATGTATGTTAAACCTCTGACCCAGAAGCAGTGTGGACCCTGGGGAGGGCCAAAAAACCGGACGTTTGGGTTCCCGTAGCCTGTGACTATCCTTGTCTGTTTTAAATACCGTGAAGTTGTTTTATATGAGTGCAATAAAAGCAAGGCTTTATTTAAAATAAATACTAAGTAAATAAACCTAGATGTTCCTCTCTGCGGAATTTTTGAGAACACGGTGACTTAAGCCCAACTGCCCTGCTGTCCCAGCACCTTTGTACACATTCTTACCCTGGGTGCCAGGGCTGCTCATTGCCCCTTTAGCTCCGGTCCTAGGTAACAGGCATAGGACTCGGTTCTTCTTGCTTGTACATTCACTGTCCCTCTGTTCACACTGCGCTGCCCTCACAGGCACTAAACTGCAGCTGCTCAGGGAGGCAGACCAGGGACACAGTCTCATCTGGAATGTCACAAGTGGCAGGCTGGTACTGACGGACCTACTGGTCAGCTTTGCCTTGTCAACACAATGGGTGTATGATCTAGGACTGTGCCGAACCACAGGGAAGACCAGCCAGCCTTCTTTCAGGGGCTGGGATGAGGCTCGGTGATGGAGCACCTGCCTGGCTTGCCTAAGGCTCTGGGCTCAGTCCTCAGGCACTGCAACAAGGAGGTGAAGTACCCTTGGGCCCTTAGGCTGACATCAAGGACAGAATCCTGGAAAAGGTCTGTGAGCTGACTTTAGAGGCCAGCAGTGTTTAGAGAGGTGAAAATGAAGCTTTGTGTTGTGAGATGTTTTACTCTTGGCTTTTTGAAGGGCCCACCACCCCGCTCCCAAATATATCACACACAGAGGCTTATTCGTGGTTATAAATGTCTGGCCTTAGCTTGACTTGTTTTTTGACAGCTTTTCTTAAATTATACCAATTTGCTTGGCAGTGGTAGTGAACACCTTTAATCCCAGCACTCAGGAGGCAGAGACAGGTGGATCTGAGTGAGTTTGAGGCCAGCCTGGGCTACAGAGCGAGTTCCAGGGCAGGCTCCAAAGTTACAGAGAAACCCTGTCTCGAAAAATCCAAAAAAAAAAGGGGGGGGGGGAGGGGGGGAAGAGGTCAGGTTGTCCATCTTGAGGGAAGAGTTTAGGAAAATAAAAAAGCCAAGTTAAAAGCCTTTGGGTGCCTTAAAGCAGGAGACAAGCCAGTGGTTGCGTCAGCCTCACCCCGTTGTCAGGCTGGGACCACTTTGCTCCTGGCAGCCCACAGTGCTGAGTGGCAGGCTCGGGCTGCACATGCAGGTGCCGTGGGGAGCAGTCTTGAACCACTAAAACTGTGTGTTTGGCATCACTCACTTGTTCTAAAGCAACCAGTGAGCAGTTGCTGCTTCTGGAGGGAGGTTAAAATGAACCACTGCGTGAAGGCGTGGCCACCATCCAGAACTAGAAGAGGTGAACAGGGACTTGGGGAAAAAAATCCCTCAACCTTCCCACAAAAACGCTGGCTCCAGCATCACAGCACTGGGTCAGCCACTCAAAGACAGGGCTGCCTCACACCTCCAGCGAAGCTGAAGCCACATGGGCGCAGGGACCATCTGCCTTCATAGGATTAGCACAAAAAGAAAGCACTTGACCCCACAACAATGCTCGCTGAACACAAGTGAACCCTGCAGTCAGGGCAGCGTGACCAGACCTCCAGGCTGGTCACTCCCCGTGCTCCAGCCCTTGCCGTGTCCTCGGCTGGTCTACTTAAAAGCAGCCTGTGTTGCGCCACAGTCCAGCTTTGATGACCACTGACTCAGGTAAGGAATCTCACAGGGAAGAGGCAGATGGATCTCTCCGAGTTCAAGGTCAGCGTGGTCTACAGAGCTAGTTCCAGGACAGTTACAGAGAGAAACCCTGCCTTGGAAAAAAGAGAGAGAGAGAGAGAGAGAGAGAGAGAGAGAGAGAGAGAAAGGAAGGAAGGAAGGAGAGAGAGAGAGAAAGGAAGAAAGGAAGGAAGAAAGAAAGAGAAAGAAAGAAAGAAAGAAAGAAAGAAAGAAAGAAAGAAAGAAAGAAAGAAAAAGAAAGAAAGAAAGAAAAATGGAAGCTCACAGGGAAAGCCGTTGGCCTGCAGGCAGGAAACCTCACACTCCCCAAGTTAAGACCAAAAGTCTCAGAGTGAGGATGATCCTGGAGGAATGTATACACACACAGGGTGTGTGTGTGGGGGGGGGGAGCGAGCACAGAATAGCCCATGTTTGGACTGGTGACTAGCACTGGGAGGTGAGGAGATGAGCAGGGAGTCAGCACTGGGATGCTCCCCATGATCCTCAGAGACGAAGTTATCTCCTCTCCTGCCAAATCCCTAGAGGAGGCAGCTGAGCTCTTGGGCCTCTAAAGTGTGATAGGCCCAGAAGGCCTCTGTGTTTTCCAACATGCTGTAGGTACCTGGTTCAGGCATCTTAGCTGTCACACCTTGCAGCCACCGGTTCTATGCTCTGTCTGCTTGGAGCCTCACCACTGTGTCCTCCAGTGTATGGCATGCTCCTATGTGCTCAGAAAGGAAGAAGATGGGCAAAAGGTATCTTGAGATAGCATTTCTAACCTACCACCGAAGTCCCTCCCCTCTCAACGGAAGATGGACACACAACAATCACAGGGGCCTTGCAGGTCCCTGGCGTCCGTGCATGCAGGCTGCCTAACTCACCTCAGTGGCTTCATGTTAAATGGCTTGCTCCCTGTCACTAGATGTTCTAAACAGCTCAGTTATTGAGGCTTTTCTCCTTTGTTCACTCTGAGCCATGCCCTTACCCTACCTTTCCTGCCAGAGCAGGATCTCTACTGAGGCCTACCTTCAGGGACAAAGTGACCTTCCTGCTGTGAGTGGATGCATTCTGCTGTCTCAGGATCGAGGCGACTGTCTTGGGGGCCCATTGACTCTAGACATAGACTAGAGGTAGGCCAGAAGGACCTTGAGCGGAAAGGAAGAGGTCTAGTAAGAGTCACAGGATATCAAAGCCTGCAAGTGCATAGGCATCGCAGCCCCACGAGCTGTCTCTCAGCAGTGTGACCTAAAGCCAGGTACAGACTTCCTCCTTGCTCACTTGGCTCCCCCGCCACCCACCTAGAAGCTACCGCTGCTTTCACTGGGTGGAGGGCGACACGTCTTGGCACTACACCACCTCCTGAACACATGCTGTAGGGATGGATGCTCAGCATCTTTTCCCCACACTTTAGACTTCTGGAGGCCGTGACAAAACCATCGAGGTGAGCCTGGGGCCGAGCGGCTCACTGATTTGTCAGCAAGGCTGTTGGCTTTTGAAACTAGACAGGAAGGAGGGTTGAGGTGGAGTCCCGCACAGGAAGAGCTGAGGAGCTGACTGCAGTGACAGTGGGTGAGCGACTGGGGACTGCAGGATGTGGTGGGTCTGTCAGTCCTGGCCCCGGTGTGATCAGTGTGGTAAACTCCCCTGATCCCTTCAGAGAAGGTTCCCTCAGCTCTGGACAGACCAAGGCCCTGGTCTCAGCTGGCCTGCCACTGATTACCCAAGGCGCTCCACCACAACGGCCTCCTGCTCACTGGGGCGGAGCTGAGCCCAGGAGCATGCAGGTGGAACCCTCTGGACACCCACTTTAGCACCCTGGAGCAGCAACAATGGCAGGGAGGTGAGTAGAGTCCAGAGCACCTCAGTACGGGAGCAGGGGAGGAGTGGGGATAGAGCTTTTAAGGCTTGCGCTATTCTGAGCATGGGGAGACTCCAGAACGCTGACGCCCTGGGTGCCAGCAGCTGCTAGGGCTGGATGCCTCAGTGTAGAAGAAGCTCACATGTGCCCTAGGATAATGGTCCAGGACAGGTTCTGGGAGAGAAAACCCAGCTCCCTTTTCTTGGTGATGGCATGGGAGGAGGATGCATTGCATCTTGCCACAGGTAAACAGCAATGCTCTTGTAACCCTGCCCCTCCCAGGCTGCAGATCCCAAGTAGGTGACCCTGTTTTTGGCATTCAGTTCCCATCTGTAAGTGGAGTAACAACTCCAGTATCTGCCACAAAGGTTAAGAGAGGTGGTACACACAGCTCCCAGGCCCAGTTCCTGTAAGCACCCCCTCCCCGAGGGTCACTCCTAGCCATGCCCTGGGGGACTGATAACCGTGGGAGAGCTTCTGTGAGAGGTGCTGCTGCACAGCCAGCTGAATGTTGGCCTAGGGAGTGTTAGCTCTGGTACCCGCCCCATGGCCATAGGGAGTGTTAGCTCTGGTATTCACCCCCCCCATGGCCATAGGGAGTGTTAGCTCTGGTATTTCCCCCCCCCCCTCCATGGCCATAGGGAGTATTAGCTCTCTCTCTCTCTCTCTCACACACACACACACACACACACACACACACACACACACACACACCCGCCATAGGGAGTGTTAGCTCTGGTATCCACCCCATGGCCATAGGGAGTGTTAGCTCTGGTATTCACCCCCCCCCCAGGGCCGGGGGGGGGGGGGGTGGGGGACCACCCCCCCCCCATGGCCATAGGAAGTGTTAGCTCTGATATCTGCCCCATGGCCATAGGGAGTGTTAGCTCTGGTATCCACCCCACTCACAAGCTCCTAGGCCCTGGGGCTCCACTCAGGCCTAACTCTAAAGGCTCACTTCGGGCCATCCTTCAGAGGCTTATCTACCCTCATGCTGGGACTCCAGGGCAGGGCAGTAAGTGTCTCCTTAGGGTCTGCTTCTGCCTTCAGGATGCTCATAGTTGCCATGGTGCTAAGTCAGGCCTCAGAAGCAGGATGCTTGGTAATATGGAAAGCCCGAGGCACTGTGGTCAGAGATCTGAGCATTCCTGGTGGCAGTCATCACAGTAAGTCCCACCCTAGGTCAAGGTAGGCAGGGTAAAGCAGCCATTTGGAAGGAAATTTGCAGGTACAGCCCTGGGAGAAAAGCATGAAACAGAACAGGCTCCACCAGACATAACGCTCCGCCAGAACCAAGATGCAATAACACAGGTCTTCCCAAAACACAGTCTCCTCATCCTGTTGGTCAATAGCAGCAGTGAGATATCATCTGTGGGCATCTGGTTACAGCAAGCAGTGTCGTCCTGGTCCACGCCCTGACGGCTCCCTACCAGAAGGTATCACAGGGGCCCTAGCATCCTGGCATAGCTCTGCTCGGCCTAACTACCTTTATATTTTTACATAGTTGCCAACTTTAATTTTAAGTCAAGATGTACTTTACACCAAGGGAAGTGAGCTCACTGGCTCTGTGTGCATGTTCTTACGACCATTAATATCAACCGGTGGAAACGTACCTGACATCTCCTATGCCCCCTCTCAGGTAGAAACAACCCCCCCAAGAGCAGTTATTTTAACATCTATCATTTCTGATTGGTTTGGCCTGGTTTTAAGCTCTCTAGAAGTGGAATCCTAGAGCATATATTTTGTGGCAAGTCATGAGGTCATCTGTGCGGTAGATGGGGTCAGCAGTGTATGCCTTTTCGTGTTCCCCAAATTTCCCATGCTATTGTGGGTGGATATTGGTTGATTTTATTACTGATAATTATGAATAAAGCTGTCAGGAACATTCTAGCACCAGTGCCTTGGTGGACATAGATGCCTATGAACCTAGATCCCTCTAGCAGGCACTTCCTCATCTTCTGAGATGTTGATAGTGTTAGCGTAGAAGGTGCAGACTTCTTGCTATGTTCATCCCAAGTAGTTGGTTTTTATGATATCTTAACATTTCAGTTTTGATTTGATTGTGGCTAGGAAGTACAACTAGAACGGGCTGCTTGTGAGCACCAACCCTGTGTCTGGATCCTTGCCACGCTCACACATCACTTCTAACTGCTTGTTTATAGACGGTTTTAAATTTTCACAATCATAACTGTGAATGGTGAGACATAGTTTTTAATCATTGTGATACTTTCTTCTGCATGTTCGTGTACAATCTGCCATCTCAAATTTTAATTTAATAATAATATAATTATTATATAATATTACTCAATATTATATATTATTATGTGTATGTGTATGCACATATGTGTATATCGTTGCATGCATGTGAAGGTCAGAACGATTTTCAGGAATTGGTTCTCTCCTTTGATCTGGGGATAGAGCTCTGGTTGTCATGTTTTTGTTTCTTTTGTTTGGTTTTTGGTTTTTCGAGATAGGGTTTCTCTGTAGCTTTAGAATCTGTCCTGGAACTCACTCTATAGATCAGTCTGGCCTCAAACTCACAACGATCCACTTGTCTCTGCCTCCCGAGTGCTGGAATTAAAAGTGTGCACCACCACAGCAGGGCTGTGGTCTTAAAATAGCATCTGCCTATGCTGTGTGAGTGTCAGCATTGTCTTGAATGTAACTTTTGTATCAACTCTGGGCTGCAGTATTTGAAATTACCTGGCATAAGTGAGAAGGAAACACGGAACACGCTACAAACCTGAGGTTGATGTGCAGGGGGGGGGGGAAGGGTAAGGGAGCGCGGCGCGGAGAGGAGAGGAGAGGAGAGGAGAGGAGAGGAGAGAGAGCTGAATATGGTGCATTCGGCTTTTAAGGGAACTAGACTTGACTCTTCTGTAAGAGCAGCAACCACTCTTAACCACTGAGCCATCTCTCCAGCCTCTGTATTCTGTGCCTTAACTTTTCCAGTATAAAAATGTATTGTAGATCCGGGGCTATATCTCACTGATAGAACCCTTGCCTACCATGATAAATGTATTGTAGATCCGGGGC